GCTATGTTGATTGGCTAATGCAGAGAAGTTACTTCCAGGAAGATAAATAAAAACATACTGATCCTTTTATACCTGACAATACAATACATACAATTAGAACAGATATTTTACTTACGAGCATTTACAGGGCTGGAGTTCAGTGTATTTTTATGGTCACCTTCTAATATATCGTGCTTTTCAAACTTTAAATCTCTCTTGGACATGTGACTAGAACAAATTCCTTTATTGGTGCCCCAAATTTATTATTATTGTAATACAATATGATGTGTAACTATATGGAATCTGAGTTAGTCTGTAATCGCAAAAAGAAAAGGAGTACTTGTGGCACCTTAGAGACTAACCAATTTATTTGAGCATAAGCTCATATGCATCCGATGAAGTGAGCTGTAACTCACGAAAGCTTATGCTCAAATAAATTGGTTAGTCTCTAAGGTGCCACAAGTACTCCTTTTCTATATGGAATCTATAACTAAGAATTACAGAAAAAGGATTGTCCATTAACCTTTGATCACTGTCTTCTGCTTTGGCGTGGTTCTGCTAATGTTTTTGAACAAGAAAAGCACTTTCCTTATTATATTGACCTTTGTTGACTCTGTGCCTAATACTAGAATACTCATTTCATACATTTTACCCTTTTAAAGCTTTCTGGTGGTGGCATTCTGTCATTATTGAAAGTGTATTAAAATGAAAATTCTAAATTATAATCTCTGTGGTTTGTAATCCATAAATCTATCTGAAACAAGAAGAAACTCAGAATGAAAAACTCATTAAAATTCCAAGAAGAAACATCCGATGAAGTGAGCTGTAGCTCACGAAAGCTTATGCTCAAATAAATTGGTTAGTCTCTAAGGTTCCACAAGTCCTCCTTTTCTTTTTGTGAATACAGACTAACACGGCTGCTACTCCGAAACCTGTTAAAATTCCAAGGACTAACTTACTTTCAGAACTGAAGAACAGACTGCACTTCATGCTGTTATAATGTTTACAGGGTTTTCTTTAAAACTCACAACATCTGTTGAGTGCTTATGAGGATTTTCAAAGCTGTGCTCAGCCTTATAACTGAAATATCATTGATTTTTATCTTTCTTAAAACTTATTTCAGTATGTTGTGTATATGTAAATACACACACTTTATAGAATACGTATACAGAAATTCTTTATTGACTGAAATAGGAAAAGGTGGGAATTATACAGTTTCTAAAAAAGTCAACGGGTTAAGTTATAGAAGTGATTATAGGGTAATATTATAGTGGTTTTACATCAGAGATGAGGTAATCAAAGAGAACAAATTGCCTAAAGAATCTGGGTTTGAGCACATTTTGTGTAATTTCTATGTAGGAAATGAAGTGCAGCCATAATTTAGCATAGTTGTTGTAGCTCTATATCTAACTCTGTTTTCACTCTGGACACATTCCCTATCTTTGAATATATATTTTACTTGAAAATCTGCCAAGATTCATGCATAACAATGTGTGCACCTGATGATCTTTCACTAGTCTAGCACTTTTACTCCCATTCTCATCCTTGTTTATGCTAGAATCATAGAAATGTTGGGCTGGAAGGAAACTTGAGAAATCATCAAGTCCAGCCCCCAGTGCTGAGGCAAAACCATTATTCTCATGCTGTGTTATACCTGAGGGATTTTGTCTCTCCTCATGCCATACTGTATATCCACAGTCAGCAGAGGCATACAAACCAATCCTCATTATTCTCTAAGACAGCTCTAAGTGTCACATGCCAGTAGGCAGTGCAACCTAGCATTTGGAATGGGAGTCAGACTCGGAGGTCAGAGCAGAGTTGGAGGGAGAAAATGGAGCCATGATTTGGAGACAAACCCAAGGTCAGAACAAGGAAGCAGGAATCACAGCACAACCCAAGTCATGGTCAGAAGACAAGCCAGTAGTTAGAACCAATAGTCAGGAGGTTTGGTAGAGACTGGTGCTGAAGAGGGAACAAACACAGTTTGGATCAAGGACCAATACAAGAAGCAGGTCTGGCACTGCTATGGGCATGGAATGTATTGAGCAGCCATTGTGTTGCTATTGCAACAAGGTTTAAATGATCTGCTGGCTGTTCTGTCCAATCAGGGAGAAGAGTCACTTAGTGAGAACTTATTGGCCCCAGCTGAGCACATGCGGTTGTCAGGTGACTACGCTGAAGCCAGATGAATTCCTGACACTAAGACTCTGAAACTTGCACCCCATGGCACATTTAGTCCAAACTAGCCCAAATTTTGTGATTGTCCAGGCATACTGAAAAATACACTGATTTGTAGGGGCTTTGGAAAAGGCTAAGGATATGCTTCCTAGATAGTGAATGGGATAAGTAACCATCTGGCTGAGTTTGAGCTGCTGATACTTAATTGTATTTACTGTGTAATTAATTATGTTAGGGCACCTACAGCCTTGGATAAGCATCTTTATTATTTTAAATCTAAATAAATAAATACCTAGATTGGATGGTAAACTTTTTGTGATAGAATTTGGCCCATTCAGTGGTCTGTAAAGTGCCACCTATGGCACAATATAAATAATAATCAGATCCAGCTCACCTTCGTGCAAGCCTCTCTTATAGACCAGTCTATTCAGAGCTGGTATAGACCCCTCTTCTTTGGCATATAGGAAGTGAAGTGAAGAAACCCTCTCCCAGCTACACAAGTACTGCAGAGATTCCCTCCCTGCATGCTTCCTGTACCTGCAAACACATGCCCAGAACTACCCCTTTGCAGATCTTAAGTGGCACGTGGGGCCTTTCCCAGATTCTCTGCACCCCCCATGAATTTCAGTTTCAGTGTTTAAAGAATTTGCTAATATCTTGTTAAAGGGAAAAGGAGAATCTTCATTTACTGGAATAACTTTTCTAAGATTCAGATAGTGGTGAAAGGGTAAATCATGATTATTTTAGTTTTACAATTAGTTCGAAAGACAAGACTTCTCAATCAGTTGCATGGCAAAATTGAGTTCTGCACACACAATGACCACGTGCTTTGAAATAGGGTGACCAAATAGCAAGTGTGAAAAAACGGGACAGGGGGTGAGGGCTAATAGGAGCCTGTATAAGAGAGAGACCCAAAAATTGGGACTGATCCTATAAAATCAGGGCATCTGGTCATCCTACTTTGTAATGAAAACCTTCATGTGAATTAAGTATATATGTGGAATATATGTGCTCTGTACAGGGGTCAAAGGGGGAAAATGGAGAGGGATAATTAAGAAAGCCTTATAACACCTTTGCACATATTTACTGAAGTGTATATAAGATATTACCACCTATCTAATGCAGGGGCGCCATTTCAGATGCAGGGGAGGGGGCAACTTTAACCGTGATTCCAAAGGCTACTTGGGCACCTGAAAACGTTTTTTTTTTTTTCAGATAATAACTTAAATACAGTGCTCCTGTCAGATAATAATGTCTAATTCCTATATAAAGAAAGAAAAATAAATATTAGACCCACTCAGCTCTAATACTTGTTCTGACATCTTGTGTCAATTCACTTAAGGAACACTGGTTAGGTTTTAAAACATTATGTATATTTTTACTTTGTTACTGACTCTTGAATACAACAATTGAAACAATTCTAGAAAAACCTAGATTACTTTCTATCACTTTTTTGCAATTCATCAAGCTTGGAATAGATTGTTTAACATTTGGAAACATCCTAATAGGGCAAGACCCCCGTGAGTTTATATTTCACCTGCCTGGGGCTCTAGGGGTGTTACCCCACTACAAATAATAGACTAGAAAATGACTTTAAACAGGAGTGAAACTGACACTTTCAAGTCACATTCATATTATTGCCAACCCCAAAAAATTAAGAATCAGGCTCACCAAAAATCATGAGATTGGCTTTAAAATAATGAGATTATGTAAAAATAATAGATCTGGTGTTCTTTTTATTTACATTCTACTTTTTGAGCCTTTAAGGTGCACTGGGGTCACATTTTGAAGCTTTCTCCACAGCCACAAGGGCTAGACACTTCATTTTTCTTAAAGAATGAAGTCTGAAATCATCACATACCACTTGACTCCAGGAGCTGGAGCTTTAAGGAAAACAATAATTATCATGAGACTCATGACAAAATCATGACAGTTGGCAACACTGCACTTCCATTTAAAGGTTATTTACTTTCCAGAAGGCTCTTAACACAACAGGACGTAATTGAGTTGCAGTTTTCACAGGAGAATATTTTAAATCAAACACTAAGAAAATTCAACATTTAAAGTTGAGGAAAAAATTGAGACTTCTGAGATATATCAGGGCCACTGCAGGCAGGAAAGGAAAATAAACAGGCACAGGAGCTCTGGGCAGCTCTTCCTCTTGAAAGAAAGTTGAAGAGTCAAATCTTCTAGTCCTTAATCAAGTACAACTTCTATTTCCATCAGTGCCTCCACTCATAGATATAAATAAACATCACAATGAACATGTGATAACATGTGTGGTCAATAACTATACACTTCATACTTAAATATCTGAGCCATCTTATCCAGAGTTACACATCTTATATGCATTGGCTCAGGGACTACATTTTCTGGCATATTCTGAACAGTGCTGAGCACACAGATCTTGCCCAGTGAATAACACAGATCATGACAAAAATGGTTGATTTATGGACTCTGTGGTTGCAATTTCTGTTCTTTGTTCTGGAAATGGCCTCAATACAGCTGAAACCCTAAGAGTTTGATCTATAATTACATCTGATACACATATGACACTTTCTCATTCCTTCCTTTTCTCAGACTCAGACCAAAAAATGACAAAACAAAATGGTTTTCAGTTAAAATCTAAAATTGCGTAGCAGGCATTGCTGTACAACTCAGCCTGGGGCAGAACCTGCAACCCGTTGGCGGTTAAGTGCTCTTCTCTCATCTGATTCTCATTGTCTCTCTTTCTTCATCTTTCCTGACCTCTGTGCTACTTTTGATACTGACACTGATACATGACATTGTTCCCAATCATCTCAGACCGTGTGCTGGAGTCTCAGCCCTGGTCTACACTAGGACTTTAGGTCGAATTTAGCAGCATTAAATCGATTTAAACCTGCACCCGTCCACACAATGAAGCCCTTTATTTCGACTTAAAGGGCTCTTAAAATCGATTTCCTTACTCCACCCCTGACAAGTGGATTAGCGCTTAAATCGACGTTGCCGGCTCGAATTTGAGGTACTGTGGACACAATTCGATGGTATTGGCCTCCGGGAGCTATCCCAGAGTGCTCCATTCTGACCGCTCTGGACAGCGCTCTCAACTCAGATGCACTGGCCAGGTAGACAGGAAAAGAACCGCAAACTTTTGAATCTCATTTCCTGTTTGGCCAGCGTGGCAAGCTGCAGGTGACCATGCAGAGCTCATCAGCACAGGTGACCATGATGGAGTCCCAGAATCGCAAAAGAGCTCCAGCATGGACTGAACGGGAGGTATGGGATCTGATCGCTGTTTGGGGAAAGGAATCCGTGCTATCAGAACTCCGTTCCAGTTTTCGAAATGCCAAAACCTTTCTGAAAATCTCCCAGGGCATGAAGGACAGAGGCCATAACAGGGACCCGAAGCAGTGCCACGTGAAACTGAAGGAGCTGAGGCAAGCCTACCAGAAAACCAGAGAGACGAACAGCCGCTCTGGGTCAGAGCCCCAAACATGCCGCTTCTATGATGAGCTGCATGCCATTTTAGGGGGTTCAGCCACCACTACCCCAGCCGTGTTGTTTGACTCCTTCAATGGAGATGGAGGCAATACAGAAGTAGGTTTTGGGGACGAAGAAGATGATGATGAGGAGGTTGTAGATAGCTCACAGCAAGCAAGCGGAGAAACCGGTTTTCCCGACAGCCAGGAACTGTTTCTCACCCTAGACCTGGAGCCAGTACCCCCCGAACCCACCCAAGGCTGCCTCCTGGACTCAGCAGGCGGAGAAGGGACCTCTGGTGAGTGTACCTTTTAAAATGCTATACATGGTTTAAAAGCAAGCATGTGAAAGGATTACTTTGCCCTGGCATTTGCGGTTCTGCCTTTGCAAAAGGTTTCTGGGGAGGGCAGCCTTATTTCGTCCTTCATGGTAGGACACTTTACCACTCCAGGCCAGCAACACGTACTGGGGAATCACTGTAGAACAAAGCATTGCAGTGTATGTTTGCTGGCATTCAACCAAAATCCGTTCACGCGGTGGGAGGAGGCAAAATGCGACCTTGTAACGAAAGCACATGTGCTATGTATGTAATGTTAACAGCAAGGTTTACCCTGAAAGAGTGTAGCGACTGTTTTATAAAATGTGTCTTTTTAAATACCGCTGTCCCTTTTTTTTTCTCCACCAGCTGCATGTGTTTCAATGATCACAGGATCTTCTCCTTCCCAGAGGCTAGTGAAGCTTAGAAAGAAAAAAAAAACGCACTCGCGATGAAATGTTCTCCGAGCTCATGCTGTCCTCCCACACTGACAGAGCACAGACGAATGCGTGGAGGCAAATAATGTCAGAGTGCAGGAAAGCACAAAATGACCGGGAGGAGAGGTGGAGGGCTGAAGAGAGTAAGTGGCGGGCTGAAGAGAGTAAGTGGCGGGCTGAAGAGAGGGCTGAAGCTCAAAGGTGGCGGCAGCGTGATGAGATTCAATGCTGAGGCTGCTGCAGGACCAAACCAGTATGCTCCAGTGTATGGTTGAGCTGCAGCAAAGGCAGCTGGAGCACAGACTGCCACTGCAGCCCCTCTGTAACCAACCGCCCTCCTCCCCAAGTTCCATAGCCTCCACACCCAGACGCCCAAGAACGCGGTGGGGGGGCCTCTGGCCAACCAGCCACTCCACCACAGAGGATTGCCCAAAAAAAAGAAGGCTGTCATTCAATAAATTTTAAAGTTGTAAACTTTTAAAGTGCTGTGCTTAAAGTGCTGTGTGGCATTTTCCTTCCCTCCTCCACCACCCCTCCTGGGATACCTTGGTAGTCATCCCCCTATTTGTGTGATGAATGAATAAAGAATGCATGAATGTGAAGCAACAATGACTTTATTGGCTCTGCAAGCAATGATTAAAGGGAGGAGGGGAGGGTGGTTAGCTTACAGGGAAATAGAGTGAACCAAGGGGTGGGGGGGTTCATCAAGGAGAAACAAACAGAACTTTCACACCGTAGCCTGGCCAGTCATGAAACTGGTTTTCAAAGCTTCTCTGATGCGTACCGCGCCCTCCTGTGCTCTTCTAACCGCCCTGGTGTCTGGCTGCGCGTAACCAGCAGCCAGGCGATTTGCCTCAACCTCCCACCCCGCCATAAACGTCTCCCCCTTACTCTCACAGATATTGTGGAGCACACAGCAAGCAGTAATAACGGTGGGAATATTGGTTTCGCTGAGGTCTAAGCGAGTCAGTAAACTGCGCCAGCGCGCCTTTAAACGTCCAAATGCACATTCTACCACCATTCTGCACTTGCTCAGCCTGTAGTTGAACAGCTCCTGACTACTGTCCAGGATGCCTGTGTACGGCTTCATGAGCCATGGCATTAAGGGGTAGGCTGGGTCCCCAAGGATACATATAGGCATTTCAACATCCCCAACAGTTATTTTCTGGTCTGGGAATAAAGTCCCTTCCTGCAGCTTTTGAAACAGACCAGAGTTCCTGAAGATGCGAGCATCATGCACCTTTCCCGGCCATCCCACGTTGATGTTGGTGAAACGTCCCTTGTGATCCACCAGAGCTTGCAGCACTATCGAAAAGTACCCCTTGCGGTTTATGTACTCGGCGGCTTGGTGCTCCGGTGCCAAGATAGGGATATGGGTTCCATCTATAGCCCCACCACAGTTAGGGAATCCCATTGCAGCAAAGCCATCCACTATGACCTGCACATTTCCCAGGGTCACTACCCTTGATATCAGCAGATCTTTGATTGCGTGGGCTACTTGCATCACAGCAGCCCCCACAGTAGATTTGCCCACTCCAAATTGATTCCCAACTGACCGGTAGCTGTCTGGCGTTGCAAGCTTCCACAGGGCTATCGCCACTCGCTTCTCAACTGTGAGGGCTGCTCTCATCTTGGTATTCATGCGCTTCAGGGCAGGGGAAAGCAAGTCACAAAGTTCCATGAAAGTGCCCTTACGCATGCGAAACTTTCGTAGCCACTGGGAATCGTCCCAGACCTGCAACACTATGCGGTCCCACCAGTCTGTGCTTGTTTCCCGAGCCCAGAATCGGCGTTCCACAGCATGAACCTGCCCCATTAGCACCATGATGCATGCATTGTCAGGGCCCATGCTTTCAGAGAAATCTGTGTCCATGTCCTGATCACTCACGGGACCGCGCTGACGTCGCCTCCTCGCCCGGTATCGCGTTGCCATGTTCTGGTGCTGCATATACTGCTGAATAATGCATGTGGTGGTTAATGTGCTCCTAATTGCCAAAGTGAGCTGAGCGGGCTCCATGCTTGCCGTGGTATGGCGTCCGCACAGAAAAAAGGCGCGGAACGATTGTCTGCCGTTGCTCTGACGGAGGGAGGGGCGACTGACGACACGGCTTACAGGGTTGGCTTCAGGGAGCTAAAATCAACAAAGGGGGTGCCTGTACATCAAGGAGTATTTCAGGCAGGACTGCACGGAGGGTTCCAATAAAAAATGGTGCACCTAAGTTATCGTTGTTATTGGAACAAGGAGGTTAGCCTGGCCTCTGATTGATACATGGCTAGATTTACCTCGCTGCACCTTCTCAGTGAGTGACTGCAGTGTGACCTAGAGGAATGAGTCCCCTAGACAGGGGAGGAGGCAAATGAGTACAAAACAAATCTGGTCTATTTCTTGTTTTGATCCACTCCATCTATCTTTTACATCTTTGGCTGGCAGCAGACGGTGCAGAAGGACTGCATGCCATCCACATCTCATGGCTGCTCGGCAGAAGATGGTACAGTACGACTGCTAGCCATCCCCATCTCTTGCCTGCCTGGCAGAAGATGGTGCAATACGACTGCTAGCAATCCTCATCTCTTGCCTGCCTGGCAGAAGATGGTACAGTACGACTGCTAGCAGTCCGTATCGCCTGCCCGCTCACCATAAGACGGTTCAATAGGACTGACTGCAGGACTAAAGAGAATGACCTGGTCAAGTCACTCCAAATTTAGTCCCTGCGCCCATGTCTGCCCAGGCGCTCCTGATCGACCTCACAGAGGCGACCAGGAGCACCTCAGACATGACGATGACGGCTACCAGTCGTACTGTACTGTCTGCTGCCACAAGGCAAGGGGTTGCTGCTACTGTGTAGCAATGCCGTACCGCGTCTGCCAGCACCCAGGAGACATAGGGTGACGGTTACCTGAGCGGGCTCCATGCTTGCCATGGTATGGCGTCTGCACAGGTAACTCAGGAAAAAAGGCGCGAAATGATTGTCTGCCCTTGCTTTCACGGGGGGAGGGAGGGAACGGGGGGCTGACGATATGTACCCAGAACCACCCGCGACAATGTTTTAGCCCCATCAGGCATTGGGATCTCAACCCAGAATTCCAATGGGCAGCGGAGACTGCGGGAACTGTGGGATAGCTACCCACAGTGCAACGCTCCGGAAGTCGACGCTTGCCTCGGTACTGTGGAAGCGCTCCGCCGAGTTAATGCACTTAATGCACTTAGAGCATTTTCTGTGGGGACACACACACTCGAATTTATAAAACCGATTTCTAAAAAACCGACTTCTATAAATTCGACCTTATTCCGTAGTGTAGACATACCCTCAGAGAACTAGCCTTCTTGATTTTGCTCCCATCCATCAGAGGCCTCTTTTTTGCAGCAGGCAGCAGAGAGAAAGGCTGGTCCAGTGGATAGGGAGCTAGTCCTGAAAGACTTGGGTTCTACTCTCCCCCTTCCCACCCCCCAGTCCCCATGGACTTCCTGTATGACCTCAGGTCAGTGCCTTAGGGACAGAGCTTGGCACTCAAAGAGGTGGCTAGGCACCTAGTGGGGTTTATAAAGCACCTAACTTTCTAGGTAAGGGGTGAGCAAACATTTTGACCCGAGGGACACATCTGGGTGGGAAAATTGTATGCAGGGCTGTCAAGGTTCCTCCCCCACTCTGAACTCTAGGGTACAGATGTGGGGACCTGCATGAAAAACCTCCTAAGCTTATCTTTACCAGCTTAGGTCAAAACTTCCCCAAGGTACAAAATATTCCACCCGTCGTCCTTGGATTGGCTGCTACCACCACCAAACTAATACTGGTTACTGGGGAAGAGCTGTTTGGACACGTCTTTCCCCCCAAAATACTTCCCAAAACCTTGCACCCCACTTCCTGGACAAGGTTTGGTAAAAAGCCTCACCAATTTTCCTAGGTGACTACAGACCCAGACCCTTGGATCTTAAGAACAATGAACAATCCTCCCAACACTTGCACCCCCCCTTTCCTGGGAAATGTTGGATAAAAAGCCTCACCAATTTGCATAGGTGACCACACACCCAAACCCTTGGATCTGAGAACAATGAAAAAGCATTCAGTTTCTTACAAGAAGACTTTTAATAAAAATAGAAGTAAATAGAAATAAAGAAATTCCCCCTGTAAAATCAGGATGGTAGATATCTTACAGGGTAATTAGATTCAAAAACATAGAGAACCCCTCTAGGCAAAACCTTAAGTTACAAAAAAGACACACAGTCAGAAATAGTCATTCTATTCAGCACAATTCTTTTCTCAGCCATTTAAAGAAATCATAATCTAACACATGCCTAGCTAGATTACTTACTAAAAGTTCTAAGACTCCATTCCTGGTCTATCCCCGGCAGAAACCAGCATATAGACAGACACACAGACCCCTTGTTTCTCTCCCTCCTCCCAGCTTTTGAAAGTATCTTGTCTCCTCATTGGTCATTTTGGTCAGGTGCCAGCGAGGTTACCTTTAGCTTCTTAACCCTTTACAGGTGAGAGGAGCTTTCCCCTGGCCAGGAGGGATTTCAAAGGGGTTTACCCTTCCCTTTATATTTATGACAAGGGCTGGAGCAGAGGGTTGGGGTACAGCAGGGAGTGTGAGGTTTGGGAGGGGGTACAGTGTGCAGGAAGGGGCTCAGGGCAGTGGATTAGGGTATAAGAGGGGTGCACAGTGTGGCAGGGGGCTCGGGGTTGGGGCTTGGGGTTCAGGAGGGGTTCAGGGTGTGGGTTCTGGCCTGGCGCTGCTTACCTCGATTGGCTCTGGGGTGGCAGCGGTGCGCAGTGAGGCTATGACAGGCTCCCTTCCTGCCCTGGCCCCACACTGCTCCCAGAAGTGGTCAGCATGTTGGGCAGCTCCTGGAGGTGGGGTAGGGCAGGTGGCTCCACCACATGCTGCCCTTCCCTGAGGGTACCAATCCAGAAGCTCCCACTGGCCGCAGTTTGCTGTTCCCAGCCAATGAGAGCTGTGGGGGGTGGTGCCAGCAGGTGAGGGCAGCTCACAGAGCCCTCTGTCCCCCTTCCCCCAGAAGCCACAGGGACGTGGTGCTGGCCATTTCTGGGAGCAGCGCGGGGCCAGGGCAGGCAAGGAGCCTGCCTTAGCCCCACTGCACCCTGGGACTGGCAATCCCGCTTCCGGATTGAAAGCTGTGATGGGCTGGATCCAGCCTGTGGGGCGTAGTTTGCCCTCCCCTGTTCTAGGTGCTTTTGAAAATCACACTAGGT